CATCAACGGACTTCAAATTGATTCTGATCATACCATGCTTGGACCCCCCCCCCCCGTTACTTGGCACGACTAGCAACCCAATTACTGCATCAAGGCATATCCAACGTTGGACACCAGCTATGGCAATCCACACTTCTCCAAGCCCAGTACATGAGTACTCAACAGCCTCTCTCAGTGAAAGAGCTCAACTCCCTCATGGGCCAACTATGCCAAACAATGCTTTTCTTTCCTCTGATGGATCTGAATAATCCCCTCCCATCTCCAGCCTTTACAATATGGCCCCAAGTGAACCAATCTACTCCCACACCAGTGAATTCCCAGTCTCACCCACCAACAAATCAAAATGCAGCAATGGACCTGCCAATAAAGGAGAAAACTCAAACCCTGGGTTATCTCAAAGAATATAACGCAGACCTAGAAAGCATCTTGGAAAAGCTTGGAGTCCCAAAAACATCAGTCCTCCTCATGTAGGAGGCAATGGTGATCGAGTTCAAAGAGCAGTGCGGAGAAATGCTTATTTCTCTCTGCCCCAAAAAACTAGTAAGCTGCAAGCTAATTCTCCAAGTTACATCATCTACAAGCTTAGGAAACTCAGTAGTTGCAATAAGCCCTGTAATGGGAGAAGTGAAACCAACCCCAGTGGTAAAGGGGAAGGGACTCAAGAGGTAAACCCCAACTCAAAACCACTTGCTGATGAACTTCTTAATATAGAATGCGAGAGGAGCCAACAATGCTGAATTCCACAGACACTGCACCTCCATGGTGAAACTGCACAACCCGGCCGTCCTTGTCCTCCTGAAGATAAGAATGGCTAACCACACGTACCTAACTGCTGAGCTTCAATTCTCAGCTCAATTCCAATCCCCTCATGTTGGCCAATCAGGAGGAATTGTAGTGATGTGGAAAGAAGACCTAGTTACGCTTGAAGAGGTTGGTATCACTCCCCTGGGTGTGCATGCAATGATCAAGGTAAGCCCCAATCACCCTAAGTGGTTTTTCTCTACTATCTATGCTAGCCCTCATTTACAAGATAGAATTAGATTATGGTAAGCCCTTAGAATATGGCCTCTACCTATAAAGGTAGTTGGCTTGTAGGAGGGGACTTCAATGAAGTCCTAAATTCCAGAGATAAGCATGAGAGTAATAGCATTAGTGCTAGTAGAAATAGCCGTTTACGGAGATGCCTGAACCACTGTAAATTAGTTGACTTAGGATTCAAAGGCTCAAAGTATATGTGGTCCAACAAGAGGTACACCAATAGGCAGGACCTTATCCTTGAGAGGTTGGATAGGTAGGACTAGATTAAGTCTTTCCCAGAAGCCTTAGTTACCTACCTTCCTAGGACCCACTCTGACCACTGCCCTCTTATTTTAAGCATCACTAGTACCCAACATAGTGATCAATGTAGACCATTTAGGCTAAAGACAATGTGGTGTGGTCATCCAGACTTTCACAACATTGTGCACATCAACTTCACCTCCACAAATGACCTGTTGGAAGCTACCAACACTTTTAAGGCAAATGCGACCACATGGAACAAATTAGTGTTTGGTAATATCTTCCATAAAAAGAAGCACATTTTAGATAGACTGAATGGCATTCAAAAAGCAAGTGCTTACCCTTTCAGCTCCTTCTTACAAAACCTAGAATCCAATCTCCAAGCTGAATACTCAGCAATCCTCCAAAATGAGGAAGACTTTTGGAAACTGAAATCCGAAGTCGATTGGCTTTGTCAAGGTGATGCCAACACCAAATTCTTCCGCACTACCACTCTTAACATAAGGAGGAGGAATAGGATCCTTAGATTGACTAATGAGGTGGGTAACTAAATCACTTACCCTAAACTCATCAAAGAGGCTACCATATCCTTTTTTTCAGAATCTCTTCACCACATCCTACACTTCATCCACCCATAAGAGAGTTCACGGTGAAAATACTCATCAAATTCTAACTGACAGCATGAGAAAGGCCCTAGACCAACCACTTAGAACCTCAGAAATTAAAGTAGCCATGAACTCTTTCAAACCACTCAAGGCACCTGGTCCTGATGGGCCGCACCTATTTTTTTACTAAAAATACTAGTCTATCCTATCAACCCAAGTCAACCAATTCTGCCACAAAGTCTTTACCACCTCAACCATGCTATTTGAAGTTAACAAAACACTCATGTGTTTGATCCCTAAATGCTAGAATGCTACCCTTCT